ACTCGGTTCACGAACAGAAAAGTTCATAAAAATATGCTCCGTTCACGAACTCCGCTTCTGTTCGCGAACAACTCGGTTCACGAACAGAAAAGTTCATAAAAATATGCTCCGGTTCACCAACTCCGCTTCTGTTCACGAACAACTCGGTTCACGAACAGAAAAGTTCATAAAAATATGCTCCGTTCACGAACTCCGCTTCTGTTCACGAACAACTCGGTTCACGAACAGAAAAGTTCATAAAAATATGCTCCGTTCACGAACTGCGCTTCTGTTCACGAACAACTCGGTTCACGAACAGAAAAGTCCATAAAAATATGCTCCGTTCACGAACTCCGCTTCTGTTCGCGAACAACTCGGTTCACGAACAGAAAAGTTCATAAAAATTTGCTCCGTTCACGAACTCCGCTTCTGTTCACGAACAACTCGGTTCACGAACAGAAAAGTTCATAAAAATATGCTCCGTTCACGAACTCCGCTTCTGTTCACGAACAACTCGGTTCACGAACAGAAAAGTTCATAAAAATATGCTCCGTTCAGGAACTCCGCTTCTGTTCGCGAACAACTCGGTTCACGAACAGAAAAGTTCATAAAAATATCCTCCGTTCACGAACTCCACTTCTGTTCACGAACAACTCGGTTCACGAACAGAAAAGTTCATAAAAATCTGCTCCGTTCACGAACTCCGCTTCTGTTCGCGAACAACTCGGTTCACGGACAGAAAAGTTCATAAAAATCTGCTCCGTTCACGAACTCCGCTTCTGTTCACGAACAACTCGGTTCACGAACAGAAAAGTTCATAAAAATATCCTCCGTTCAGGAACTCTGCTTCTGTTCACGAACAACTCGGTTCACGAACAGAAACGTTCATAAAAATATGCTCCGTTCAGGAACTCCGCTTCTGTTCACGAACAACTCGGTTCACGAACAGAAAAGTTCATAAAAATATGCTCCGTTCACGAACTCCGCTTCTGTTCACGAACAACTCGGTTCACGGACAGAAAAGTTCATAAAAATTTGCTCCGTTCACGAACTCTGCTTCTGTTCGCGAACAACTCGGTTCACGAACAGAAAAGTTCATAAAAATATGCTCCGTTCACGAACTCCGCTTCTGTTCACGAACAACTCGGTTCACGAACAGAAAAGTTCATAAAAATATGCTCCGTTCAGGAACTCCGCTTCTGTTCGCGAACAACTCGGTTCACGAACAGAAAAGTTCATAAAAATATCCTCCGTTCACGAACTCCACTTCTGTTCACGAACAACTCGGTTCACGAACAGAAAAGTTCATAAAAATCTGCTCCGTTCACGAACTCCGCTTCTGTTCGCGAACAACTCGGTTCACGGACAGAAAAGTTCATAAAAATCTGCTCCGTTCACGAACTCCGCTTCTGTTCACGAACAACTCGGTTCACGAACAGAAAAGTTCATAAAAATATCCTCCGTTCAGGAACTCTGCTTCTGTTCACGAACAACTCGGTTCACGAACAGAAACGTTCATAAAAATATGCTCCGTTCAGGAACTCCGCTTCTGTTCACGAACAACTCGGTTCACGAACAGAAAAGTTCATAAAAATATGCTCCGTTCAGGAACTCCGCTTCTGTTCACGAACAACTCGGTTCACGAACAGAAAAGTTCATAAAAATATGCTCCGTTCACGAACTCCGCTTCTGTTCACGAACAACTCGGTTCACGAACAGAAAAGTTCATAAAAATATGCTCCCGTTCACGAACTCCGCTTCTGTTCACGAACAACTCGGTTCACGAACAGAAAAGTTCATAAAAATATGCTCCGTTCACGAACTCCGCTTCTGTTCGCGAACAACTCGGTTCACGAACAGAAAAGTTCATAAAAATTTGCTCCGTTCACGAACTCCGCTTCTGTTCACGAACAACTCGGTTCACGAACAGAAAAGTTCATAAAAATATGCTCCGTTCACGAACTCCGCTTCTGTTCGCGAACAACTCGGTTCACGGACAGAAAAGTTCATAAAAATTTGCTCCGTTCACGAACTCCGCTTCTGTTCACGAACAACTCGGTTCACGAACAGAAAAGTTCATAAAAATATGCTCCGTTCACGAACTCCGCTTCTGTTCGCGAACAACTCGGTTCACGAACAGAAAAGTTCATAAAATATGCTCCGTTCACGAACTCCGCTTCTGTTCACGAACAACTCGGTTCACGAACAGAAAAGTTCATAAAAATATGCTCCGTTCACGAACTCCGCTTCTGTTCGCGAACAACTCGGTTCACGAACAGAAAAGTTCATAAAAATTTGCTCCGTTCACGAACTCCGCTTCTGTTCACGAACAACTCGGTTCACGAACAGAAAAGTTCATAAAAATATGCTCCGTTCACGAACTCCGCTTCTGTTCGCGAACAACTCGGTTCACGAACAGAAAAGTTCATAAAAATTTGCTCCGTTCACGAACTCCGCTTCTGTTCACGAACAACTCGGTTCACGAACAGAAAAGTTCATAACAATATGCTCCGTTCACGAACAGGAGCCGCGGCCATTTTAATGCTATTTCCAGGCTGTCACGTGGTCGTGACTTCCTGTAGGAAGATCGTGGAGAGAAGAAGAGACGCAGAAAGAAGTACTGTGACTACTGTGAAGACACTTGCAGTGACTTTTTGCTTTTTGGTGTGCTTTTTAGCACATACAGTACTGTACTGTACTACTGTACAATACTGTACTGTGCATATCAAGAGGAGTTTAGCATATTCATTGGAAATGCGTAGGAGGTGGGCGGGGGGGTTTCAAAGTCATATTATGCCCGTGCATTATGCAGGATCAGCAGCACCAAGGGAGGGTGCAGGGAGTAGCATTAACAAAGGGAGGGAATGTTACTAGTATGTAGAAGCAATGAACCCAGCTTATATATAAGCCCCAAGCTTGGCAGTGTCTCATTCTTCACCTGAGGACGGCTGCTTGCGTTGTGGCCGAAACGTCGTGAGAATTATTTTATTATGTTTTATTTCTATTATTTTATTACTTCCCTTCTACGTGACGACTTTACCGAAAGAACCAAGAAGATGAATCCCTGCAGCAGTCACGAAAGAAGCTTTCAATCAAAATCGTTGGGTATGCTTAAGCATCGCGTCTGGTGAGCCGGCAATGTGCGAACTGCGTTCGGTTTCCTCCGAGGCGAGTGAGCGCTGTAGAGGGACGTGTCGAGCGGTCGAGCCGTACTATGGGGACCTCATTTGCCAGTAAAAATATGATAATTGGTTTTGTACCCTTCTATCTGGCAACAAAACTGACACCTTTTTACGAGGAGTCATGTTTGCATAGACCGCAATACCTGCAGTCGTAACGCAAACACAAAACATAACTCTGATAATGTATGCACTGTCCTTGAAGTTGATTGGTCCACACCCGAGACAGCTTTCCTTAGAGCCTATCAACTTCAAGGACAGTGCATACATTATCAGAGTTGTGTCTTTTGTTTGTATTATGACTGCAGGTATTGCGGTCTATGCAAACATGACTCCTTGTAAAAAGGTGTCAGTTTTGTTGCCAGATAGACGGGTAAAACACCAATTATCATATTTTTACTGGCAAATGAGGTTCCCATAATATATGAAGCAAATACGTTTTTGTATCTACGATTTGCTGCCACTGCAAAATACGGTCATGCGCAAGTACAGTGCTGTATATAACGCTTTAATAATAAGAACAACAACACAATTTAGCTGCAACAATGCTCCAAGCAAAATTACTGCATTTTCCAGCTATACACTGTTGATAGACACAGTACAAACTTGCACGTAAGAATATGAGAAATAATGTCATGTAAATTCTAGAACAAAACATGTTTTATGTGCATCAAGAGGCATTTTCAGAGTTCCCCCAGCAAAAAATACAAGCTGGCAGGGGAAATTTTTTTTTTACAAAGGTATAATATGTATCAAAAATGTGTCAATACAAAATGTAAGTGTATACATTATATTTCGATTTAAAGCTTTCGTGACTGCAGGGATTAATCTTCTTGGTTCTTTCGGTAAAGTCATCACGTAGAAGGGAAGTAATAAAATAATAAAAATAAAACATAATCAAATTATTCTCACGACGCTTCGGCCACAACGCAAGCAGCCGTCCTCAGGTGAAGAACATGTCTGTCGATAAGACAGCGTCTGAATGTTAATCCTGCATAATGCACGGGCATATGTAGTACTAATCACATACCTGCATTTCCCATATCCCCTCCCTGTGATGCTGCTAATCCTGCATAATGCACGGGCATAAGTAGTACTAATCACACACCTGCATTTCCCATATCCCCTCCCTGTGATGCTGCTAGTCCTGCATAATGCACGGGCATGAGTAGTACTAATCACATACCTGCATTTCCCATATCCCCTCCCTGTGATGCTGCTAATCCTGCATAATGCACGGGCATGAGTAGTACTAATCACATACCTGCATTTCCCATATCCCCTCCCTTTGATGCTGCTAATCCTGCATAATGCACGGGCATGAGTAGTACTAATCACACACCTGCATTTCCCATATCCCCTCCCTGTGATGCTGCTAATCCTGCATAATGCACGGGCATGAGTAGTACTAATCACACACCTGCATTTCCCATATCCCCTCCCTGTGATGCTGCTAATCCTGCATAATGCACGGGCATGAGTAGTACTAATCACATTCCTGCATTTCCCATAAATATGCTAAATTCCTCTTGATATGCAAATTCCTTTGTCAAGGCGCCCAGCTTATATACACGCTCCAAGCTCGTGTGCTGTTTCATTCAGACGCTGTCTACTCGACAGACCTGTTCTTCACCTGAGGACGGCTGCTTGCGTTGTGGCCGAAACGTCGTGAGAATTATTTTATTATGTTTAATTTTTATTGTTTTATTACTTCCCTTCTACGTGACGACTTTACCGAAAGAACCAAGAATATGAATCCCTGCTGCAGTCACGAAAGAAGCTTTAAATCGAAATTGACATGAGAAATGTCATGTAAATTCTAGAACAAAACATGTATTATGTGCATCAAGAGGCATTTTCAGAGTTCCCCCCCCCCAGCAAAAAACACAAGCTGCTGCCAGGGAGAAAAAAAACTGTTTTTACAAATGTATAACACGCAATAAAAATGTGTCAATACAAAATAAAAGTGTACACATTATCTTGCACGCATTCAAACGGTACACGTGTCAAGCACCAACCATCGGCACACGTGCTCACGAACAATACGGTCTCCAGTCGGCGTTCGTGTCGTCTTTGTGCCGCAGTCGAAAGGCAAACGGCCCCTAATGTCTACCAGCAAAGGCGCTCAACGGGAGGGTCGGATGCGTCACCGCCATCCTAAGACGATAAACTCGTGATGGTCCCTGACTTTCCATCAACTCGGATGGTCTTCACAGACTTTGGTACCTGTAGAAATCAAGCAGGGGGGGAGGGGGGGTGGGTGGGAGGGGGGGTTTCTCGCAATTAAATTGTACAGGCAGTCCTCGGACGTACAGCTGGTTACATTCCTAGAGAAGGCGCCGCAATTTCGATTTAAAGCTTTCGTGACCGCAGGGATTCATCTGATTCATCTGAATCCCTGCGGTCACGAAAGCTTTAAATCGAAATGTAACCGCCTCTACGGGGAGGGTTTCCACGTAACTTTGAGATCCTTCAACAAGCTCCGGGATAAGAAGGCTCCGCTAATCGAGTCTCTCACCTTTCTGAAGAGATGCCGCGACTCTAAGCTTAAATAGACACTCCAAGCCTAAGACGTGTCATTTAGACTCTGTCTTATCGACAGACATGTTCTCCACCTGAGGACGGCTGCTTGCGTTGTGGCCGAAACGTCGTGAGAATAATTCTATTATGTTTTATTTTTATTATTTTATTACTTCCCTTCTACGTGATGACTTCACCGAAAGAACCAAGATGAAGGCGTCGCAAGCCGAAGCCACATATGCCGAGACAGATTTTCCCAGATGAACAATGATACAATAGGCGGTCACGTTCCTGACCAAGGATCCGATATGCCGCTTTTAATAGATACGAATACAAAGAGCATATTTAATCAACTGCCGATTATATATAAAGTACAATGTTAGTGTAAAATTTCGATTTAAAGTTATCTTGACTGCAGGGATTCATCTTCTTGGTTCTTTCGGTAAAGTCACGCAGAAGGGAAGTAATAAAATAATGAAAATAAAACATAATAAAATTATTCTCACGACGTTTCGGCCACAACGCAAGCATTCACCTGAGGACGGCTGCTTGCGTTGTGGCCGAAACGTCGTGAGAATTATTGTATTATGTTTTATTTTTATTATTTTATTACTTCCCTTCTACGTGACGACTTTACCGAAAGAACCAAGAAAATGCAGTATATATTTCTCGATTGCAACGCTGCAATGGAGAAAAATCTTGAAAGTTAAAATGTTTGCCACCTTAACTTCAAAGCATATATAACAAACAACAAAAATGTGCGTGTGTGTGTGTGTAGTAAACACATACGTATGCACGTGTATCTACCGAGCTAGATTTGAAGCTTTCGTGACTGCAATGAATCATATTCATAGGTTTTTTCGGTAAAGTCACGTAATGTTTATTTCTTTTTAATGTTTTTTACCGACGTGACTTTTCCGAAAAAACCTAAGAATATCTACCGAGCCAGATTTGAAGCTTTCGTGACTGCAATGATTCATATTCTTCGGTTTTTTCGGTAAAGTCACATAATGTTTTTAATGTTTTTTACCGACGTGACTTTACCGAAAAAACCTAAGAATATCTACCGAGCTAGATTTGAAGCTTTCGTGACTGCAATGATTCATATTCTTAGTTTTTTTTCGGTAAAGTCACATGTTTTTTAATGTTTTTTACCGACGTGACTTCACCGAAAAAACCTAAGAATATCTACCGAGCTAGATTTGAAGCTTTCGTGACTGCAATGATTCATATTCTTAGTTTTTTTCGGTAAAGTCACGTAATGTTTTTAATGTTTTTCTACCTACGTGACTTCACCGAAAAAACCTAAGAATATCTACCGAGCTCATCTTGTGCCCACCTCCTTAAGCGTGCCAGCACAACTGCCGGATCGGTTGTCATCAAGCGTGGCTGGAAGGGACTCCGCCGGGCCCCGCTCTGTTCTTCCGGCCCCATCACCCACACGGATGACAGGAGGTGGTGGGGCGCAGGGTTGCGATTTCCGCATGGAAAATGCGGAAGGAGGGTTCAAATGTTCCCGCATTTTTGCTAAAGTCAACCGCAAACGGTGGAAAGACTACTCCTATGACCGCGCGCTTTTAACAACACGTTAATGCGTTCTATTGGAAAGGATACATGCAAGGCCCAGCATCACGTAGGGCTTTGAGTTACTGATTGGAATGAATATATGATTTCCGCATTTCCGCACAAGAACCACATACTTTATTCAAATGCGGAGCCGTGATTACGAGCACATGTACATGATGTATCCTTTCCAATAGAACGCATTAACGTGTTGTTAAAAGCGCGCGGTCATAGGAGTAGTCTTTCCACCGTTTGCGGTTGACTTTAGCAAAAATGCGGGAACATTTGAACCCTCCTTCCGCATTTTCCATGCGGAAATCGCAACCCTGGTGGGGCGGCGACGGCTACGGAAACTGGAGGAGATTGCACAGATGCGAGCCGTGGTCGCAACGTGGCACAACAATCGCCCGACTCGGCTTCTCTCGACCGCCGAGACATCAGTTCTGCTGCTGCTGCTGCTGCCGCTGCAGACGAGGTCTGTGGAAACCCAAAGGGAGTAGACACCGGTCAAGGCGACACTAAGAAGCGACACGCTTCAAGTTCTTAGGTTTTGTCGGTAAAGTCGCGTAGGTAGTGGTGGTAGTGGTGGTGGTGGTGGTGGTAGTGGGGGTGGTAGTGGTGGTGGTGGTAGTGGTAGTGGGGGTAGTGGTAGTGGGGGTGGTAGTGGGGGTGGTAGTGGGGGTGGTAGTGGTGGTAGTGGTGGTAGTGGTGGTGGTAGTGGTGGTAGTGGGGGTGGTAGTGGGGGTGGTAGTGGGGTGGTAGTGGTGGTAGTGGTGGTAGTGGTGGTGGTAGTGGTGGTAGTGGGGGTGGTAGTGGGGGTGGTAGTGGTGGTGGTGGTAGTGGTAGTGGGGGTGGTAGTGGGGGTGGTAGTGGGGGTGGTAGTGGGGGTGGTAGTGGGGGTGGTAGTGGTGGTAGTGGTGGTAGTGGTGGTGGTAGTGGTGGTAGTGGGGGTGGTAGTGGGGGTGGTAGTGGGGGTGGTAGTGGGGGTGGTAGTGGGGGTGGTAGTGGTGGTAGTGGTGGTAGTGGTGGTGGTAGTGGTGGTAGTGGGGGTGGTAGTGGGGGTGGTAGTGGGGGTGGTAGTGGTGGTGGTGGTAGTGGTAGTGGGGGTGGTAGTGGGGGTGGTAGTGGGGGTGGTAGTGGGGGTGGTAGTGGTGGTAGTGGTGGTAGTGGTGGTGGTAGTGGTGGTAGTGGGGGTGGTAGTGGGGGTGGTAGTGGGGGTGGTAGTGGGGGGTGGTAGTGGGGGTGGTAGTGGTGGTAGTGGTGGTAGGTGGTGGTGGTAGTGGTGGTAGTGGGGGTGGTAGTGGGGGTGGTAGTGGGGGTGGTAGTGGTGGTGGTGGTAGTGGTAGTGGGGGGTGGTAGTGGGGGTGGTAGTGGGGGTGGTAGTGGGGGTGGTAGTGGTGGTAGTGGTGGTAGTGGTGGTGGTAGTGGTGGTAGTGGGGGTGGTAGTGGGGGTGGTAGTGGGGGTGGTAGTGGGGGTGGTAGTGGGGGTGGTAGTGGTGGTAGTGGTGGTAGTGGTGGTGGTAGTGGTGGTAGTGGGGGTGGTAGTGGGGGTGGTAGTGGGGGTGGTAGTGGGGGTGGTCGTGGGGGTGGTAGTGGTGGTAGTGGTGGTAGTGGTGGTGGTAGTGGTGGTAGTGGGGGTGGTAGTGGGTGGTGGTAGTGGGGGTGGTAGTGGTGGTGGTGGTAGTGGTAGTGGGGGTGGTAGTGGGGGTGGTAGTGGGGGTGGTAGTGGGGTGGTAGTGGTGGTAGTGGTGGTAGTGGTGGTAGTGGTGGTGGTAGTGGTGGTAGTGGGGGTGGTAGTGGGGGTGGTAGTGGGGGTGGTAGTGGGGGTGGTAGTGGGGGTGGTAGTGGGGTGGTAGTGGTGGTAGTGGTGGTAGGGTGGTAGTGGTGGTTAGTGGGGGTGGTAGTGGGGGTGGTAGTGGGGGTGGTGTAGTGGTGGTGGTGGTAGTGGTAGTGGGGGTGGTAGTGGGGGTGGTAGTGGGGGTGGTAGTGGGGTGGTAGTGGTGGTAGGGTGGTGGTAGTGGTGGTGGTAGTGGTGGTAGTGGGGGGTGGTAGTGGGGGTGGTAGTGGGGGTGGTAGTGGGGGTGGTAGTGGGGGTGGTAGTGTGGTAGTGGTGGTAGTGGTGGTGGTAGTGGGGGTGGTAGTGGGGGTGGTAGTGGGTGGTGGTGGTAGTGGTAGTGGGGGTGGTAGTGGGGGGTGGTAGTGGGGGTGGTAGTGGGGGTGGTAGTGGTGGTAGTGGTGGTAGTGGTGGTGGTAGTGGTGGTAGTGGGGGTGGTAGTGGGGGTGGTAGTGGTGGTAGTGGTGGTGGTAGTGGTGGTAGTGGGGGTGGTAGTGGGGGTGGTAGTGGTGGTAGTGGTGGTGGTGGTAGTGGGGGTGGTAGTGGGGGTGGTAGTGGGGGGTGGTAGTGGTGGTAGTGGTGGTGGTAGTGGTGGTAGTGGGGGTGGTAGTGGGGGTGGTAGTGGGGGTGGTAGTGGGGGTGGTAGTGGTGGTAGTGGTGGTAGTGGTGGTGGTAGTGGTGGTAGTGGGGGTGGTAGTGGGGGTGGTAGTGGTGGTAGTGGTGGTGGTAGTGGTGGTAGTGGGGGTGGTAGTGGGGTGGTAGTGGGGTGGTAGTGGTGGTAGTGGTGGTAGTGGTGGTGGTAGGGGTGGTAGTGGGGGTGGTAGTGGTGGTAGGGTGGTGGTAGTGGTGGTAGTGGGGGTGGTAGTGGGGGTGGTAGTGGGTGGGTGGTAGTGGTGGTAGTGGTGGTAGTGGGGGTGGTAGTGGGGGTGGTAGTGGGGGTGGTAGTGGTGGTAGTGGTGGTAGTGGGGGTGGTAGTGGTGGTAGTGGGGGTGGTAGTGGGGGTGGTAGTGGTGGTAGTGGTGGTAGTGGGGGTGGTAGTGGGGGTGGTAGTGGGGGTGGTAGTGGTGGTAGTGGTGGTGGTAGTGGTGGTAGTGGGGGTGGTAGTGGGGGTGGTAGTGGTGGTAGTGGTGGTGGTAGTGGTGGTAGTGGGGGTGGTAGTGGTGGTAGTGGGGGTGGTAGTGGGGGTGGTAGTGTCGGTAAAGTCACGTAGGTAAAACATTTTAAATTAATAAAATAAAAATCACGACGTTTCGGAGGCAACACAAGCTTCCGTCTTCAGGTGGAACCGTCACAGCCACGACAGCCGCATCAAGTAAAAGAGAAATTACAGGAGCTACCACTCCGTTTATATAATGGTTGGACAGGGAAATGGCCAAGATTTCGGCAGGGTGACTAATTCTCAATTTCATTCTGATTGTGTTCTCCGTCATGAGCCAATCGATTCAGAACTCGCGAAACGACATTGCACTGCCAACAGGTTCATGGCAGGACAAGCGACACATTTTGAAATATTCTTAGGTTTTTTCGGTAAAGTCACGTAGGTAGGTAAAACAATCAAAATTAATAAAATAAAAATAAAATAAAAATCACGACGTTTCGGAGGCAACACAAGTCTCCGTCTTCAGGTGGAACCGTCACAGCCACGACTGCCGCATCAAGTAAAGAGAAACTCCAAGAAAACGGTCCTTGTATATACTTCAAGTTCGGACAAACCACGCCGTTGTTCGACGCTGTACAAACGTGCGTCCTGAAGCTCAAGAGAATTCTATTAGAGGGTGTTTGTGTTCATGTATGTATGAATGGGAGCACACAAATAGGCCCTAATATCCGTGATTTGTATAATTTGCAACAGCTGTCAGGTTCATCTTCTTGGTTCTTTCGGTAAAGTCGTCACGTAGAAGGGAAGTAATAAAATAATAAAAATAAAACATTTTAAAATAATTCTCACGACGTTTCGGCCACAACGCAAGCAGCCGTCCTCAGGTGGAGAACATGTCTGTCGATAAGACAGAGTCTAAATGACACGTCTTAGGCTTGGAGTGTCTATTTAAGCTTAGAGTCGCGGCATCTCTTCAGAAAGGTGAGAGACTCGATTAGCGGAGCCTTCTTATCCCGGAGCTTGTTGAAGGATCTCAAAGTTATGTGGAAACCCTCCCCGTAGAGGCGGTTACATTTCGATTTAAAGCTTCTTTCGTGACTGCAGGGATTCATCTCCTTGGCTCTTTCGGTAAAGTCATCACGTAGAAAGAAATAATAAAATAATAAAAATAAAACATAATAAAATAATTCTCACGACGTTTCGGCCACAACGCAAGCAGCCGTCCTCAGGTGACTTTACCGAAAGAACCAAGAAGATGAATCCCTGCAGTCACGAAAGAAGCTTTAAATCGAAAAAGCTGTCAGGTTCACATAAGTTCCATTATCAAGGGGCCTTTTCTTCCTATTCGATTATCCCCGACTTTTTCATTAGTCATTGCAGAATGGCATCCTGTAATCTGAGATTGTTGCCAGATAAGAGTCCCACGGCACATACTTCAATAAAGAATTGTTGGAGCGTTATTTATACTCTTAGGTTTTTTCCGGTAAAGTCACCGTGTAGGTAAACAAATGTAAATTACTAAAAGTAAAACAAATTTAAAAATCACGACGTTTCGGAGGCAACACAAGCTTCCGTCTTCAGGTGGAACCGTCACAGCCACGACAGCCGCATCAAGTAAATGAGAGATTGCAAGAGCTACCACTCCGTTTATATAATGGTTGGAGAGGGGGGAAGGGCCAGGTACGGCACACTTTTTTAATCCTTTATATTAAGTTCGCTTGCTTGCTTGCTTGCTTAGGACCGTGCAAATCTTTCGGTCGTTTTTTAACCCACTTCCCGTGATCCAATCGAGCTGACATTTTGCACACAGACTCGTTGTGCGTGACAATTAATGTTCGTGAAATTTTTTTCCCAAAATGTTACACTTTTTAGGACAAAAATATGATATTTAATTACCAATTGCTTAATGGTGCAATGCAATCATCTGACCCATAGGTGGCAGCCATCTCAAGCCAGAGGACGAGAGGACTCTAGCCGCCACGCATATAAAGGATTTATAGTGAAAAACATTGTTTTTACTGGTTATACTTATTTATTAATATGGTAAGGTGAGGCTTGAGACTAAGAATAGACTGCATAACAAAGGCTGAGCCTGGTGGTAGTGGGGGTGGTGGTAGTGGGGGTGGTGGTGGTAGTGCTGGTGGTGGGGGTGGTGGTAGTGGTGGTGGTAGTGGGGGTGGTGGTAATGGTGGTGGGGGTGGTGGTGGTGGTGGTGGTAGTGGTGGTAGTGGTAGTGGTGGTAGTGGGGGTGGTGGTAGTGGTAGTGGTGGTGGTAGTGGTGGTGGTAGTGGTGGTAGTGGGGGTGGTAGTGGTGGTGGTGGTGGTAGTGGTGGTGGTAGTGGGGGTGGTAGTGGTGGTGGTGGTGGTAGTGGTGGTAGTGGGGGTGGTAGTGGGGGTGGTAGTGGGGGTGGTAGTGGGGGTGGTAGTGGTGGTAGTAGTGGTGGTAGTAGTGGTGGTAGTAGTGGTGGTAGTAGTGGTGGTAGTAGTGGTAGTGGTGGTGGTGGTGGTAGTGGTAGTGGGGGTGGTAGTGGTGGTAGTGGTGGTAGTAGGGGTGGTAGTGGTGGTGGTAGTGGTGGTGGTAGTGGTAGTAGTGGTAGTAGTGGTGGTAGTGGGGGTAGTAGTGGTGGTAGTGGTGGTGGTAGTGGGGGTGGTAGTGGGGGTGGTAGTAGGGGTGGTAGTGGTGGTAGTGGTGGTAGTGGGGGTGGTAGTGGGGGTGGTAGTGGTGGTAGTAGTGGTGGTAGTGGTGGTAGTAGTGGTGGTAGTGGGGGTAGTAGTGGTGGTAGTAGTGGTGGTAGTGGTGGTGGTAGTGGTGGTGGTATTGGGGGTGGTAGTGGTGGTAGTGGTGGTAGTGGGGGTGGTAGTGGGGGTGGTAGTGGTGGTAGTGGTGGTAGTAGTGGTGGTAGTGGTGGTGGTAGTGGTGGTGGTAGTGGGGGTGGTAGTGGTGGTGGTAGTGGGGGTGGTAGTGGGGGTGGTAGTGGTGGTAGTGGTGGTAGTGGGGGTGGTAGTGGGGGTGGTAGTGGTGGTAGTGGTGGTAGTAGTGGTGGTAGTGGTGGTGGTAGTGGTGGTGGTAGTGGGGGTGGTAGCAAGGCTGAGCCTTTGTTATGGAGAGCTGCGGTTTGTGACTCAACCTGTGACAGGGAGACCACCACTAGACATGGAAAACTGTGATGGTTGTCTGTCAAATAAGATTGGCAAATAAGTGCAGTTAAATCTTTTTTTGCATGGTTGCCACTGGCATTCCCACTGACTTTTCTCAGTCGTTCCCCTCCTGCGCCTGATCGAATATCCGCCATGAGAGCGTCTCTTTCTGTCTCGCGCTCAACAGCTGCCGATATCTTCTGCAGATCTTCACCCGAAACCTAGAATATGATGTGACAACAACCAGCACATTCGTGGAAATGTGTACAACGTTTTACATTTTCTTGGTTCTTTCGGTAAAGTCACGTAGTAGGGAAGTAATAAAATAACAAAAATAAAACATAATAAAACATTTATGTTTTATTTTTATTATTTTATTACTTCCCTTCTACGTGACGACTTTACCGAAAGAACCAAGAAGATGAATCCCTGCAGTCACGAAAGCTTTAAATCGAAATTTAACGTTTTACATTAGCGAGGTAAATGTTTAAGATAACTTTAATTATACATATGCAATAATAGTTGCAAATTAATTACATTTTATTTACGATAGACACACATTTTCCGTACTTATTGCAATATTTTAAATGTGACGATGTAGACAAAGTCGTCTGACCTTACTCAACCTGCCCGTGTTGTCTGTAGACTGAAGTGCTTCCATCAGGGAACGGTGTGGATTGTCACCCTTCAGAATTGGGTTTTGCACCACAGGTTTTAACTTCAGCATCGGTCTAAACAGACCAGTATCTTCACCTGATGGTTTTCTCTGCTCATAAGTAACACTGGGACTTTCCAGTGCAGTTCCCGTGCTATTTAAAGCTGTGGGAGGCCGATAGAAAGGACTTGCATCTGTGGCGTTTGAAGAACTGAGAACAGACTGGATTTGCGACGAGTTAGACGCTGATTTTACATTAAAAGTGTGTCCGCCACTTCTAGATTTGAAGCTACTTGGTTGAGAACTCACCGTAGGTGGTGACTTGTCAGCAAGGACGGTGTTCTTAGACTCTAAATGACCAGACTGTACACTCACGCCGGATGGCTTGTCATCTTTGAATCTGACACTTGGGAAACGGACTGGCCTAAATACTTTTGGCTTCCATTGATAAACTCGTGGTGCCTGAATCATAAACACCTTCCCTGGGTCACCTGGGGAATTTGGAATGTTGGCATTTTCATCCGTAGAAAACTGTGATGATGGTGGAATTATGAGCTCATCCGGTTCACAATTCACCTGAATTGGTGGCAAAGCATCCACAGGCGTTGTCTCTGTTGTGGTTGTGCCACTGCAAGTTTCACTTGGAGCATCGACGGACTTGCAGGCTGTCTTCTCGGCAACGGAAGATGCCACGTAGGGGCTGGATGGTCTCCTGAAGGGACGGGAAAATGCATCTTGCTTCGAGCGAGACGGTGGAGATTCGGCAATGCTGGCGAGTGGCACGGTGACTTTGACAGCAGACTGCTGCCGAGATGTTGTCTCTGTGGTAGTACGCCGGAGGGAATGGGACCTCTGGAATGGACGCGCCACGACTGAGAGCCCTGATAAAGGAGGAATCGATGGTGGAGAAATCACTTGCAACCGATGTGCTGTATGCTGTTGCGGATTGGCTGTAATGTCACCGATCTTCGCTGTTGAGTCATATTTTGTCTTTTCTTTGAACTCTGTCGTAGTATCGGTCGCAGTGACATTTTCAGTCTCGCTGGGTTCTGTTTCATAAGGTGGTAGACGGAATGGGACATCGGCTGTTTTAGGTTTTGGTCTGATGACTGGCTTGTAAGGAGCAATTCTGTAAGTGGGCAATCCCAGTTTAGGAATGTCATCTCTGGTGATGTTATTTGTGGACCTCCACCGATCTAAAGGCTGCTTGTAGACAGTAAGAACTGGAGAAAATGGTTCAGCTGAATTAGATTGATATTCAACTTCAGGTGCACATGGCTCTTTTGAAATTGATCGTGGTGTCTTGTAAAAAATTGAAGCCTCAGGCTCGTTTGACGGGTCCGTTGCCGGCTGTGAAGTTTTATTTATTTCGGATACTTGTTCACTTTTAAAGCTTTCTGAAAGATATAATTTTTCTGATGGTTTAGTAGTTAGCCTTTCTCCTGCAATAACCTTGCAAACTTTGTTTGGTTCAACTATTTCCTCTCGAGCTCCTGCAATTTCTCGACGGATTTCTGCTGGCTGGATCAATACGGACTCTTCCACGCATGCCTTGCGTTTTTGCGTTACCAGTTGTTTTTTATACCGTTCGCATGACGCATTCTGTCGTTCCGCAGGTATACTCTCTACTTGCTTGTCCACAGACTTGGCCTGTGCTACAGGGATTTTCTCCACACGCGCATTTAGAAAGCTTTCGTTTTTAACGGGCATTATACCTAGACACTTTAGGCTTCCTCCGTGCCTGTCTGCCCTGCTTAACTCACTTTTTGGTTTGGTGGATACGTCAGGGAAAGCCATAGAAAACCTTTTATGTCTGGGGTCTTGTTCACCCACTACACAAGCAGATGCTTTTGCAGTGGCCCCAGAAAAAGACCCACGCTGGGTAGGTTTGTATTTAAGGTCACGTTGCTGGGCCAATGCAGATTTCTGAAAGTCGACTTTTTCTTCACGACCATCCTTTTTCTGCCTAACAGGTGGCTTCTCAGAAACCCGTTGCACATTTGCAGCGTTGAGAAACCGCACAGTTTCTTTTGAAGGTCCTCCTTTGACGTCTGTTGCCACATTGGCAGGTTCTTTTGAAGGTCCTCCTTTGACGTCTGTTGCCACTTTGGCAGATTCTTTTGAAGGTCCTCCTTTGACATCTGTTGCCACAATGGCAGATTCTTTTGAAGGTCCTCCTTTGACATCTGTTGCCACATTGGCAGGTTCTTTTGAAGGTCCTCCTTTGACGTCTGTTGCCACATTGGCAGCTTCATTTGAAGGTCCTCCTTTGACGTCTGTTGCCACAATGGCAGTTTCTTTTGAAGGTCCTCCTTTGACGTCTGTTGCCACATTGGCAGGTTCTTTTGAAGGTCCTCCTTTGACATCTGTTGCCACAATGGCAGTTTCTTTTGAAGGTCCTCCTTTGACATCTGTTGCCACATTGGCAGCTTCATTTGAAGGTCCTCCTTTGACGTCTGTTGCCACATTGGCAGATTCTTTTGAAGGTCCTCCTTTGACGTCTGTTGCCACATTGGCAGATTCTTTTGAAGGTCCTCCTTTGACATCTGTTGCCACATTGGCAGCTTCATTTGAAGGTCCTACTTTGACGTCTGTTGCCACAATGGCAGCTTCTATTGAAGGTCCTCCTTTGACATCTATTGCCACAATGGCAGATTCTTTTGAAGGTCCTCCTTTGACGTCTGTTGCCACATTGGCAGATTCTTTTGAAGGTCCTCCTTTGACGTCTGTTGCCACATTGGCAGATTCTTTTGAAGGTCCTCCTTTGACGTCTGTTGCCACATTGGCAGCTTCATTTGAAGGTCCTCCTTTGACGTCTGTTGCCACATTGGCAGCTTCATTTGAAGGTCCTCCTTTGACGTCTGTTGCCACATTGGCAGCTTCTTTTGAAGGTCCTCCTTTGACGTCTGTTGCCACATTGGCAGATTCTTTTGAAGGTCCTCCTTTGACGTCTGTTGCCACAATGGCAGTTTCTTTTGAAGGTCCTCCTTTGGCATCTGTTGCCACATTGGCAGCTTCTTTTGAAGGTCCTCCTTTGACGTCTGTTGCCACATTGGCAGTTTCTTTTGAAGGTCCTCCTTTGGCATCTGTTGCCACATTGGCAGTTTCTTTTGAAGGTCCTCCTTTGACGTCTGTTGCCACATTGGCAGATTCTTTTGAAGGTCCTCCTTTGGCATCTGTTGCCACATTGGCAGCTTCTTTTGAAGGTCCTCCTTTGACGTCTGTTGCCACATTGGCAGTTTCTTTTGAAGGTCCTCCTTTGACATCTGTTGCCACGTTGGCATTTGCTGATAAAACAGGATACTCCGTCTCGTTGTTTACATCTACTTGATCGGTATTATTGGAGCCGCTGTCTGCGGTGGCTTTTATTGCTGCTGAATCTGGAAGGGCTGCCTCTGGCTTTCTCACCGGCTCTGCAATAAAATTAACGTCAGCCTCCGCTTTAATTATGTTTACAGTCTCCACACTGGCGGAACTGCTCTCAGACCTCAAGTCATCATCTGCAAAACAAGACAAAAGCATACATTTCATACGATGTTTAAAATCACAAATGCCACACCAATGATGCCCCGTAAATTTTTCAGAAAATGGTTATATTATGCAAATTCCTTTGTCAAGGCGCCCAGCTTATATACATGCTCCAAGCTCGTGTGCTGTTTCATTCAGACGCTGTCGCCTCGACAGACCTGGTTTTCACCTGAGGACGGCTGCTGGCGTTGTGGCCGAAACGTCGTGAGAATTATTTTATTATGTTTTATTTTTATTATTTTATTACTTCCCTTCTACGTGACTTTACCGAAAGAACCAAGAAGACGGTTATATTATCACAGTGCATTTGCTCTTCACTTATTGCACGCTTTATGAATAACACAAAATTTTGTCACGTGTTAAGTATTTTATTTCGATTTAAAGCTTTCGTGACTGCAGGGATTCATCTTCTTGGTTCTTTCGGTAAAGTCACGTAGAAGGGAAGTAATAAAATAATAATTGTGCTATATTATTCTTATTTCCACGACGAACCATTGTGTGTGTAAAAGCACTCACCCATCAGCCCCATTTCAAGTTCAGCAATCAACTGATCTAGTTCAGCGGTTGCTGCAGCGTCAGTGTCCGCCTGCACCAGGTCGGATGAACGTTCTTGCACCGCGTTATCGGCTAAGTCCCTGCACCGACATGAATAATCAGCACAAATGACATAGGACACGTGTTCTTTTAGCATAACAGGACACTTCACATTACACAAACTGAGCCTTTCAATGCATATAAATTGAAATGAAGCAACGTGTCACATCATAGTAATAGGTTTTTACCCTTTCAACTGGTACAAAAACTGACACCTTTATACGAGGGGTCATGTTTGCAATAACCACAACACAAGCAGTCGAAATGCAAACAAAAAATTAACCCGTAAAAACAAAGTTTTTCACTCTAAATCCTTTATATGCGTGGCGGCTAGAGTCCTCTCGTCCTCTGGCTTGAGATGGCTGCCACCTATGGGTCAGATGATTGCATGGCACCATTAAGCAATTGGTAATTAAATATAATATTTTTGTCCTAAAAAGTGTAAAATTTTAGAATTTTTTTTCACGAACATTAATTGTCACGCACAACGAGTCTGTGGAAAATGTCAGCTCGATTGGATCACGGGAAGTGGGTTAAAAAACGACCGAAAGATTTGCACGGTCCTAAGCAAGCAAGCGAACTTAATATAAAGGATTACAAAAAACACAACTCTGATAATGATTATGATATGCACTGTCCTTGGTCCACACCCGAGACAGCTTTCCTTAGAGCCTAGTCTCCATTGGTGTTGGACCAGACGATGCCAAAAGACGTCATCTGGTCTATTACTATATTTTGCCACTGGTAAAGGAGGTCTCATAGTGTAAAGGTGTCACATGTAAAAATTGCATATTGCGATGCCTTACTGGGCTTGTTGAGATGCGCCACAGGAAGTCTTCCGTGTCTCAGACTTGGCGGAGGTTTCTTGTTCAAGCCTACGGAGTGCCGCTTCAGGCACGCACTGTTGCTTTGTGACATTGGAATCACTGCCCATTCCACCACCACCCTCGTTCAAAGTTGTTTCTACAGCAGTAATACATGTCAAACAACATATGAAATACGATCCATTAACCACTGTGGATATGAACACCATAATGCACTTCAAAACGTTGAACAATGTTTGTTTTGTTTACGAGTGATGTGGATCCGTTTTCTCCGACAAAGTGAAAGATCATACAAACTACGACTAACAGCCTAACGACAAAAACTAACAAAATCATCACGAGTTCGACTTCCCTAATCGATATTCTTAGGTTTTTTCGGTAAAGTCACCGTGTAGGTAAAACATCAAAATTAATGAAAATAAAATAAATTAAAAATCACGACGTTTCGGAGGCAACACAAGTCTCCATCATCAGGTGGGACCGTCACAGCCGGATTAGCTGCATCAAGTGAGGCAATGATTCAAGATGCTTTTTAAGGGATTACATCTTGAATCATTGCCTCACTTGATGCAGCTAATCCGGCTGTGACGGTCCCACCTGATGACGGAGACTTGTGTTGCCTCCGAAACGTCGTGATCTTTATTTTATTTTCATTAATTTTGATGTTTTACCTACACGGTGACTTTACCGAAAAAAACCTAAGAATATGAATCCTTGCAGTCACGAAAGCTTCAAATCTAGAATTCCCTAATCGAACCGAGCGAACGCCCCTCTCTAAAACCATCGGCGGCAAGACCTCCCAGACTCTACGGTCTTCCCAAATCTTCCCACCAGTAACATCAGCAAAAAACGAACGCTCTGAACTCGCGGACCTAAAAAAAGAAAGATAATGTAGTCATCCTCTCGGCAGACAAGGCCACTGCCACGGTCATCATGGATAAAGATTCATACAACAACAAAATCCTGGACCTTCTTAATGATGGTAGTTACTCCAAAATTAAAAACGATCCCACTAAAAACCTAACGACAAAAACCAACAGCATCATCACGAGTTCGACTTCCCTAATCGAACCGAGCGAACGTCCCTCTCTAAAACCATCGGCGGCAAGACCTCCCAGACTCTACGGTCTTCCCAAGATCCACAAAGAAGGCACCCCGCTACGACCCATCGCGTCGACGATCAACTCTCCTACCTACAAACTGGCCCGGTTTCTATCAGATACTCTGCTTCCCTTCACAGGCAAGACTTTTTCGGCAGTTCTCAACTCAACCCAATTAGTCTCTATGGTCAAGGACATGGTACTATCTCCTGATGACATCCTCGACAGCTTTGATGTAGTATCTCTGTTCACCAAAGTCCCAGTACCTGACACCCTAACAATAATTGAGGACTTGCTCCAACATGGATTGAATTCGGATGTACCTGCGCTGGTTAGGCATTGCCTCACCATCACTTATTTTACCTGGAATGGCACCTTCTACAAACAGAATGAGGGTACCCCTATGGGCTCCCCCTTGTCACCAGTGACAGCCAACATGTTCATGGAAAAGTTTGAATCAGACTCCATCCAGACATCCACCCTGCGTCCTTGCCTGTGGAAGAGGTATGTGGATGACACTTTAGTCATTTGGCCACATGGCCTCCCAGCATTGAACCACTTCTTGGACCACATCAATTCCAGACACCCATCCATCAGATTCGCCATGGAAGTGGAGAAAGATGGTAAACTACCATTCTTAGATATTCTATTTGAGAGGAGACCAAACGGATCCTTGGGACATTCTGTCTACAGGAAAGCCACCCACACAGATTCCTACTTGAAACCTGACTCCCACCACCACCCATCTCAAAAGAATTCTCTCATCAAAACGCTATACCACAGAGCTCATGGCATTTCTGACCAACACCACCTGGCCGGTGAATTAAGACACGTACATCGGGCCCTCAAGATGAACGGAGACTCTGACCGCACCATCCGCCAAGCTGTTTCTCCCACCGCACAGAAACAGCCACTTGAAACTCCGATCAAAACGATCACGTTGCCATACATAGCAGGCGGGACCAAAAAGATCTCCGCTACCCGACCAATCGGCTTCATCCATTACCCAAGATAAAATTCCCACATTTGAACATAGCCAAAAGCGCTCCATCGCAAAAAAATTAATCAGTCTTGTATGGATACAACTATAAGAGCGCATCTTCTCGTTTTTTTCGGTAAAGTCACGTAGAAGGGAAGTAATAAAATAACAAAAATAAAACATAATAAAGTGAGATTTATTTTATTTTATTATTATGTTTTATTTTATTATTTTATTACTTCCCTTCTACGTGACTTTACCGAAAAAACCAAGAAGATGAATCCCTGCAGTCACGAAAGAAGCTTTAAATCAAAATATTATATTATTATATTATAATATTATTTAAATATAGAATAACATTATTTTGATATTTTATTATTTTATTTAATAATATATTTTTTATTTTTATCATTTTATTATTTCCATTCTACGTGACTTATCGAAATATTATATTATTATATTATAGTATAATATTATTTAAATATAGAATAACATTATTTTGATATTTTATTATTTTATTTTACATATATATTTTTTTATCATTTTATTATTTCCCTTCTACGTGACGACTTTACCGAAAAAACCAAGAAGATGAATCCCTGCAGTCACGAAAGCTTTAAATCAAAATATTAGAGCGCTTGATAACAAAACTCGAAGTTGAAGATGTGAGCACGCGAGAGCTCACCTGTGGAGCTGCTCCGCCTTCGACGCTGCTTCTCCGCGCTCGGCGTCACAGGAGAAGAGGATCCGGGCTGCGAGAACGCCGCCAAGGAATGTTCTGGGGCAGATCTCGGGGGTGGCGACGATGGCGGTGTCGATTCGGCGGCGGCGGTGGTGGCCTCAGTCGAAGATGCGGCCAACGGTGCAGCGGGCGGCTGGCTTCTTCTGGTCTCCGGTGCGAGGCGCGGCTGGTCTGGAGAGCTCTGAGCAAGAAACACAAAGTTGGTGAGAGATTTAGATTGAAAGCTTCTTTCGTGACTGCAGGGATTCATTTTCTTGGTTCTTTCGGTAAAGTCGTCACGTAGAAGGGAAATAATAAAATGATAAAAATATAACATTTTATGTTTCGATTTAAAGCTTTCGTGACTGCAGGGATTCATTTTCTTGGTTCTTTCGGTAAAGTCACGTAGAAGGGAAATAATAAAATGATAAAAATATAATAAAATAAAATAATAAAATATCAAAATAATGTTATTCTATATTTAAATAATATTATACTATAATATAATAATATAATATTTTGATTTAAAGCTTTCGTGACTGCAGGGATTCATCTTCTTGGTTTTTTCGGTAAAGTCACGGGTAGCCGGGTAGCCGTTTGCGACCCTGGTGCGGCCAGGTAGGGGTACGGGTAGGCCGTGAGTCACCGGTGAGTCACCGTTTGTCACTCATTTCGGGTAGGGTACGGGTACGGGTAGGCCGTGAGTCACTGGTGAGTAGCCGTTTGTCACTCATTTCCCAACGTCTTGTCTCTTCTCACAATTCAAGTTCCTAGAATCAACCCACCCGCGCATTTGCAACATGGCTTCATCCCAGAGGTCGCAATCGGGTACCCGATACCCGTACCCTACCCGTACCCGGCTGGGTACGGGTAGGGTACGGGTATGGCCGGGTACGGGAACCCGTTTGCGACCCTGGTGCGGCCGGGTACGGGTAAGGAATCAAAACCCGTTTGCGACCTCCGGTTTGCGTCATGTTCTGTAAATAACAAACTGGAGAGGCCCACATTGATCTTGGCATTAAGCATGCACATGCTTCGAATTGAAATGCACACTGTACTGTATGCATGTGCAGAGGTGTCACGGAGGGCTTAACAAACACACTGGGCGTGGTATTGCCCGTACGCCGAGAGGCGCTTACATCCACGTCCGCACCGTTGAGCCTGGGGGGCTGACACGGAGCTGGGATCCCCCACGGCCCCACCCCTCAGTGGGGGAGTTGCTATACGAGGCGGTGAGCCGGAGGGCTCGGGGTTCAGTGTTCAGCCTTAACCAGCGAAGCAAGAAGAGCGGCTAGATAGGCCCTGGGACTTCCCTGAATCGCCGTCCTTCTCAGGAGCGACCAGGGCAAGCCGGTGGCGTGGCCCCCAGAGCCCAGAGCCGATGCTCTTGTCAGAGCCGGTCTGGGGACTCAGGGTGCCGTGATCCCAGCTTGGCCACGGCTGGGTCAGCTAGCCTCCCCTAGCCCGCTAGTGGAGGACCTGGGAGTAGGCTAGCCGGGATAGATATCGTGGGATCTCCCTGTTAGACGGGTGACGGGGCCGGTCTGGTGACTCAGGGTGCCGTGATCCCAGCTTGACCAGGGCTGGGTCAGCTAGCCTCCCCTAGCTCTGTAGTGGAGGACCTGGGAGTAGGCTAGCCGGGATAGAGATAGTGTGATCTCCCAGTTAGACGGGTGACGGGGCCGGTCTGGGGACTCAGGGTGCCGTGATCCCAGCTTGGCCAGGGCTGGGTCAGCTAGCCTCCCCTAGCCCGGTAGTGGAGGACCTGGGAGTAGGCTAGCTGGGTTAGAGATCATGGGATCTCCCAGTTAGACGGGTGACGGGGCCGGTCTGGGGACTCAGGGTGCCGTGATCCCAGCTTGGCCAGGGCTGGGTCAGCTAGCCTCCCCTAGCCCGCTAGTGGAGGACCTGGGAGTAGGCTAGCCGGGATAGATATCGTGGGATCTCCCTGTTAGACGGGTGACGGGGCCGGTCTGGTGACTCAGGGTGCCGTGATCCCAGCTTGACCAGGGCTGGGTCAGCTAGCCTCCCCTAGCTCTGTAGTGGAGGACCTGGGAGTAGGCTAGCCGGGATAGAGATAGTGTGATCTCCCAGTTAGACGGGTGACGGGGCCGGTCTGGGGACTCAGGGTGCCGTGATCCCAGCTTGGCCAGGGCTGGGTCAGCTAGCCTCCCCTAGCCCGGTAGTGGAGGACCTGGGAGTAGGCTAGCTGGGTTAGAGATCATGGGATCTCCCAGTTAGACGGGTGACGGGGCCGGTCTGGGGACTCAGGGTGCCGTGATCCCAGCTTGGCCAGGGCTGGGTCAGCTAGCCTCCCCTAGCCCGCTAGTGGAGGACCTGGGAGTAGGCTAGCTGCGACGTAGAGCGTTGATCTCCCAGTTAGACGGGTGAAGGGGCCGATACACTTATTCTCCGTGTCGTTTTACATAACATTTCGATACTTTGCGAGGTTATTTAATTTTAGTGTGTTCTGTCTCCCTCTAAGCCTGCGTACTTCTCTACGCGTCTCTTCGTACTCATTGACACGTACATTTTTTCTCTACCCCCTCCCTCTCTCTGCCTCCGCCCCCCTCTGTCAATTTAAGGCCTCGCCACAGAGACGATCACCCCTCTCTGTGCCTGTGTTGCTCTCTCTCTGTGTATCTTGGTGATGTCTGTCTGCTTACATGTGTAGTGACATAAGAAGGGAGGGGCTGCTGTAGGCGCTGGGTTCCCAGGTGGGTCCAGACGCGTAATCCCCTGGGCGCCAGGCGCTGGGTTCCCAGGGGGTCCAGACGCGTAATCCCCTGGGCGCCAGGCGCTGGGTTCCCAGGGGGTCCAGACGCGTAATCCCCTGGGCGCCAGGCGCTGGGTTCCCAGGGGGTCCAGACGCTTAAGCCTCTGGGCGCCACCAACGGGGGGGGCTGTGTGTGCTCTGTGGGATGTCTGGTGGCGCACACGGCCCCACCCCTCGTTGGGGACTGGGCATATAAGCGGAGCTCCCTGGACGATCGGCCCCAGTTGTAACTCAAGACCCAAGACCCACGACCAGCCATCTGAAGACCCTGGGATGCTGCGAGAGCCAGCGCTGGGACTCTGGAACTCCCGACGCTACGACCTTGTGAGGGCGAGTTCCGGAGCGTAGCCAGAGTAGTGTATCTAGGCTGTGTACCTAAGCTGTAGCAGAGTACCAGGACTGTTGGAGTGTTGTGTTGTAATAAAGAAGTTACCTCTACAAGTGTCTCCGGAACCTGTTACACGTGTCTGTCTATAGTTTTCTGGTTAGATTCTATGTCGCTATTTCATTTATACCTGATGATGATTGCTTGTGTTGCAATCGAAACGTCGTAATATGCTATTATTTAATTTATTATTTTTTCTTTAGACGTGACTTTACCGAAAGAACCAAAGAATAATCCCTGCAGTCACGAAAGCTCCAAAATCAAGATTGTACCGATTATATATAAAGTACAATGTTAGTGGTTTAGAAAGTTCTTACCTTTTTTAAATCCTTTATATTAAGTTCGCTTGCTTGCTTGCTTACGACCGTGCAAATCTTTCGGTCGTTTTTTAACCCACTTCCCGTGATCCAATCGAGCTGACATTTTGCACACAGACTCGTTGTGCGTGACAATTAATTTTCGTGAAAAAAATGTTCAAAAATTTTACACTGTTTAGGGAATTTAAAAAAAATATTTAATTACCAATTGCTTAATGGTGGCAGACAATCATCTGACCCATAGGTGGCAGCCATCTCAAGCCAGAGGACGAGAGGACTCTAGCCACCCCGATGCCACGCATATAAAGGATTTGTAGTGAAAAACTTTGTTTTTGCGGGTTAATTTTTTAAAGGGTGAAATAAATCAAATAATAAAAACATTCTCAAACAGCACGAAGAATGCAACGGAGGTTTACCACCGGAGCGTGTCTTGAGGCTGACTGACTGGGTGACGTGCTGCGTTGTTTGTGCACAAAACGTCGTAGTATGCTATTATTTAATTTATGACTTTATCTTTACACGTGACTTTACCGAAAGAACCAAAGAATAATCCCTGCAGTCACGAAAGCTCCAAAATCAAGATTGGGCCGATACCCCTTCGAGTGCCGTACATCTCGGCCTGTTCTGTACTTTGCGCTGAATAAACAAGTGTGCCTCCAACTGCGTCGTCCAAGTCTCCCGGAAGCTACGACACGTACACTGAAATTTGGACTTAAAACTGCACCAGTCTCAGTTTCATCTTCTTGGTTCTTTCGGTAAAGTCACGTAGAGTCACGTAGAAGGGAAGCAATACGTGACTTTACCGAAAGAACCAAGAAGATAATGCATCTACATTTCGACTTAAAGCTTTCGTGAAAAGCAAATGCACTGTGGTAATATAACCGTTTTCTGAAATATTTACGGGGCATAATTGGTGTGGCATTTGTGATTTTAAACATCGTATGAAATCTTCTTGGTTTTTTCGGTAAAGTCACGTAGAAGGGAAGTAATAAAATAATAAAAATAAAACATAATAAAATAATTCTCACGACGTTTCGGCTTATTTTTTATTTTATTTTATTATGTTTTATTTTTATTATTTTATTACTTCCCTTCTACGCGGTGACTTTACCGAAAGAACCAAGAAGATGAATCCCTGCAGTCACGAAAGAAGCTTTAAATCGAAATTCAGTCTCAGTTTGTGTCATGTTCTGTAAACAACAAACTGGAGAGGCCCACGTTGATCTTGGCGTTAAGCGTGTGCACACGCTTCGAATTGAAATGTACACTGCACTGTATGCATGCAACATTCGTGCAAAACGAACGCGTCGCCTGCAAGCGATCGCGACACACCAGCTCAAAACCGCTCTCCTGCCTGCCGGGAGGGACGGACGGAACGTTGTCTTTGTCCGGCTCTTCGTCCTCAGGGATGGTGGCCAGGGGGTTGGTGGGTGAGACGGGGGCTCCTGGGGCTCTCTGCTTGCCGCCGCCGCCGCCACCGCCACTGGGCAGTGTGCCCGGCATAGGGGAGGGCACGCACGGCATGCTCATTGGTCGCTGATGCTGCTGCTGCTGCTGCCCCATTAATGGTGTTCCGGGCATGGAGGTCTGTGGAAAACATTGACGAGTTAGCCAGTGTTTAATTTTGGAGCTTTCGTGACTGCAGGAATTATTCTTTGGTTCTTTCGGTAAAGTCACGTATGAAGATAAAGTAATAAATTAAATAAGGGCATACTACGACGTTTCGATTGCAACACAAGCAATCATCATCAGTTATAATGAAATAGCGACAAAAATCTAAGTCAACAATGCTTGACTCAGGGAGGAGGACGCCCCTGCCGTGCATAGTCCCACGGGATGTCGGCTATCAACAACAAGGCAACTCCTACGACTAATTGGGAATGGGACGCAAGCGTAGGATTGATCGCCCTGTCGCTGGCCGCCTTTGGGGAGGCTGTATCGTGTGAAAGGCCGAAACATTCTAGGAATCAAAGGTTCACTACTGATGATAAGTTTCCAAATGTCACCAGGCTCACTGTTCATGAACTCTTGAAAGTGCTTGCACAAAGGATAGTAACATCTCATCCTGTGTTCTTGGAATCTGAACCTACACACCTACTCACTCACCTACTCTCACCTACACACTCACCTACTCACTCACTCACCTACTCACTCACCTACATACTCACACACGCACTCACCCACTCACTCACCTACTCACTCACTCACCTACTCACTCACCTACTCACTCACCTACTCAACTCTTATTGTTGGCTATCAACAACAAGGCAACTCATGTGACTAATTGGGAATGGGACGCAAGCGTAGGATTGATCGCCCTGTCGCTGGCCGCCTTTGGGGAGGGTGTATCGTGTGAAAGGCCAAAACATTCTAGGAACCAAAGGTTCACTGCTGACGATGCGCTCCCCAAATTTCACGAGGCTCGCTGTTCATGAACTCTTGGAAGTGCTTGCACAAAGGATAGTAACATCTCATCCTGTGTTCTTGGAATCAAGGCCTCGTCACAGAGACGATCTCTCTCTCTCTGTGCCGATACGTGTTACTCTCTCTCTCTGTGTGTCTTTGTGATGTCTGTCTGCTTGTGTGTCTGTCTATAGTTTTATGGTTAGATTTGTGTCGCTATTTATTTTATAGCTGATGACGATGATTACTTGTGTTGCAATCGAACCGTCGTAGTGTGCTATTATTTAATTTATTAATTTATCTTTATACGTGACTTTACCGAAAGAACCAAAGAATACAGTTCGCCGGTGTTTACAAATACAACTGCAAGTGCTTTCGGCTTGCATCAACTGGGACTATGTGACGTCAAGAACTTTGCATTTGCCGACTCGATGTCTTAAAGCGGTGGCTAGCAACCTTTTTGAAATGAAGGCCACCCAATTAAGACCTACTGTCACCATGCATTGAACTGTTGGAACCACACTCGGAAACATCATCATCATCATCACTCTGGGAAAGCCATAGCAGCAGAAAGAGGACATGACACACAGGTAAGCAAAGACAGCAAACACTCAACAATGCACACGGGGGGAGTTGTTAGAATAACCAAAAGAGCTAGAAGAAGCTAGTTACGTATTCACCTTCTTTTTTTTTGGCCACAGGAAGCTGAAAAGCCCTTTCGTTTTTTTCGCAGGAAGGTCGGTGTTGTCGTGAAGGCCATGGCTCAGCTCTGTAACGCAAAGAGAGCCACTCAATACGTCCACAGGTGATGGTTTCATTGCCTGAGCGTGAATATGCATATCGCAACGGGGATGACACGCGGTGAATTGGCCGTAGCTTTGCAAATGCAATACAAAGTTAAATGAATTAAGCCTTTCAGTACGTGGTCTATTTTTAAATCCTTTATATTAAGTTCGCTTGCTTGCTTGCTTACGACCGTGCAAATCTTCCGGTCGTTTTTTAACCCACTTCCCGTGATCCAATCGAGCTGACATTTTGCACACAGACTCGTTGTGCGAGACAATTAATATTCGTGAAAAAAAATTCTAAAATTTTACACTTTTTAGGACAAAAATATTATATTTAATTACCAATTGCTTAATGGTGCAATGCAATCATCTGACCCACAGGTGGCAGCCATCTCAAGCCAGAGGACGAGAGGACTCTAGCCGCCACGCATATAAAGGATTTCTAGTGAAAAACTTTGTTTTTACGGGTTATACTTATTAAATCCTTTATATTAAGTTCGCTTGCTTGCTTACGACCGTGCAAATCTTTCGGTCGTTTTTTAACCCACTTCCCGTGATCCAATCGAGCTGACATTTCCCACACAAACTCGTTGTGCGAGACAATTAATGTTCGTGAAAAGATTTTTCCAAAATTTTACACTGTTTAGAACTAAAATATTATATTTAATTACCAATTGTTTAATACTGCAGACAATCATCTGACCCATAGGTGGCAGCCATCTCAAGCCAGAGGACGAGAGGACTCTAGCCGATGCCACGCATATAAAGGATTTATAGTGAAAAACTTTGTTTTTACGGGTTATACTTGTTATTAATTGTACGACACATGAAACCCTATAAAGTTTAAATTGCAAAAGATGTACTATTTTAATACACGTTCCAAAATGATTGAGGTGTTTAGTAAACGTTGATATGAACATGAATATGACACCATACTTGTGTACATACATTTAAAGTAAACCTCTACAGAGCATCCACATTGTTCATGGTTCCGAGGCCCTTCAACGTCACCCGGGTTGCCGTGTTATTAGCTCGCAGTGACATCGGTTTATTTTGTTGGTCAGATCTACATTTTTGTTGTTGTTGTTGTGCGATTGCAATGTGCCACATTTGTTAACGATGTGTTTATTGTATGGGGCTTTTCTCACGATCGCGATGTGCGGACTGTACGTACAGCATATAATGTCTCTCTGCACGGATACGGGTTGTGAGGTGCATTGTTGTGTTCCTTGGTACGGAACGTTAGATTGTGACGATGACATATGGGGCCAGCGACTGGATTGTGCTGCTGGCTGTCGCTTATCTGGGGCAAAGATTTTGCACAGAATGCCCCTCTTATGGTTGTGTGTTGACATGAGTTGTGGTCCCGTCATGCTGTGGCTGGCGGCTTGAACTGACGGCCCGGAGTTCGAGACACTCCGTGGCGTGTCTGAAACAGTGACATTGAGGCTCAGGGAGCTTTATTGTGAGTTGCTTTTGAGTTGGGTGCTGAAATCCCGTCGTTAATGTCATAGGGATTTTGGTTGGCAGGACCAGTGGGTTCCTGTCTGTCGTTGCTCCCTCCGCTCGATCGCATGCAGCCAGGGGCTGCATTGCGAGTAGGGGCGTGTGAACGATGGGTCGTCTCAGCTTGGTCGGTACAGCTATATGCTGCGATGCGAGTCTTGGAGAGAGACTGGGTCGTCTCAGCTCGGTCGGTACAGCTATATGCTGCGATGCGAGTCTTGGAGAGAGACTGGGTCGTCTCAGCTCGGTCGGTACAGCTATATGCTGCGATGCGAGTCTTGGAGAGAGACTGGGTCGTCTCAGCTCGGTCGGTACAGCTATATGCTGCGATGCGAGTCTTGGAGAGAGACTGGGTCGTCTCAGCTCGGTCGGTACAGCTATATGCTGCGATGCGAGTCTTGGAGAGAGACTGGGTCGTCTCAGCTCGGTCGGTACAGCTATATGCTGCGATGCGAGTCTTGGAGAGAGACTGGGTCGTCTCAGCTCGGTCGGTACAGCTATATGCTGCGATGCGAGTCTTGGAGAGAGACTGGGTCGTCTCAGCTCGGTCGGTACAGCTATATGCTGCGATGCGAGTCTTGGAGAGAGACTGGGTTAAAATTCCCCCGATACGGCCGACACGTGCTACTGGTTGTGACGCGCGTCGGAAAGGCGGTGGGGTGGTAACATGGAAATTCCCCCCCCCCCGATATGGCCGACGTGCACGGTTTTAGGATGGAGACGCCACGTCGGAAATGCGAGTGGGTGCTAACGGGTGACATGTAATGTCTGTGGTGGTCCTCAGTGAGGGCTGCTGGGACGCCATTTTGGGCGCGCGGGGGAAACCGTGGGGACGCCATTTTGTACATACACGGGTGGCCTCGGAGATGTGGGGGTTAAATCTTAATTTTGGAGCTTTCGTGACTGCAGGAATTATTCTTTGGTTCTTTCGGTAAAGTCACATCTAAAGATAAATTAATAAATTAAATAATAGCATACTACGACGTTTCGATTGCAACACAAGCAATCATCATCAGGTATAATGAAATAGCGACATAAAATCTAACCGGAAAACTATAGACAGACATATAAGCAGACAGATATCATCAAGATTGCTCTCTCTGTGTATCTTGGTGATGTCTGTCTGCTTATATGTCTGTCTATAGTTTTCTGGTTAGATTTTTTGTCGCTATTTCATTTATACCTGATGATGATTGATTGTGTTGCAATCGAAACGTCGTAGTATGCTATTATTTAATTTATTATTTTATCTTTATACGTGACTTTACCGAAACAACCAAAGAATGATGTGGGGGTTGTACGCGTGAACTATTTCTGGGCAAGAGCAGCGCATTTTTTGTTTGTGCCACGTGGATTTCACATATTTTCAAAAAAAATTTACATACTGGGGCAACCTTGAAGTGAGACTTTTTTTTTGCCCAGTACACGCGTCAACCGGGAAGCAATGGCTTCCTTGACCCGGGATGTTGTAACGTTATACCTTGGGTGCAGCGTACTGGCTCGACCTTGAAGCATTCCTTCCTTGAGCCAGCGCATGGGTCGAACCTGAAGTGCGACTTCTCGACCTGGGACGTAGAGAGACGTCCAGAACGTTAAGCGGTGTGTGTAGGTGGGTGTTAGACTTTCAGTTTCCGCCCTATTGCCGCCTGTAGGGCGGAACGGTAGCAGGGCGGTGCGAGACCCTGCCATCCATGGGGTGGTTGGGCGATTGATTTGATTACCGGTGTCCAGAGCCGGCCCAGCCACTAAGCGACCCTTGCAATTGCAAAGGGTCCCGTGGCCAGCAGAGGGCCCCCTAGAGTCACTGCTAGCGAGTGGGTGAAAAAAATCACACATCAAAGGGGCCTCCAACCAAATTTTGCTTAGGGCCCCCAAAGGTCTAGGGCCGGTTCTGCCGGTGTTGGTCGTGCATCCAACAGGGTTAGCGTGTTCGACTGTCAAAATCTATTCACAACGAGGCCACGTCACCGACTCAACGCTTTACCTCCGGGACAACGACAGGCTGCGTCGGCTTCTTGAGTCGGTCGTCCAACAGGGTTAGCGTGTTCGACTGTCAAAATCTATTCACAACGAGGCCACGTCACCGACTCAACGCTTTACCTCCGGGACAACGACAGGCTGCGTCGGCTTCTTGAGTCGGTCGTCCAACAGGGTTAGCGTGTTCGACTGTCAAAATCTATTCACAACGAGGCCACGTCAGCGACTCAACGCTTTACCTCCGGGACAACGACAGGCTGCGTCGGCTTCTTGAGTCGGTCGTCCAACAGGGTTAGCGTGTTCGACTGTCAAAATCTATTCACAACGAGGCCACGCCACCGACTCAACGCTTTACCTCCGGGACAACGACAGGCTGCGTCGGCTTCTTGAGTCGGTCGTCGCTGGCGGGCCGAGGTTTGATTAGCGCCGTCCCCGCACCAAGGGCCCCCAGGGGCGTGTGGGGCTTGTACCGCAGAGGCGACGCGTCGTCCCTCGAGAGAAGCTCCAGGGTGTGGCCGGCAGGGCTCAAGCGGTAGCGGCCGCAAAGCACGACCAGCACGTCCATCACCGGCTTGCTGCTCGCACCGCACCACACAGCAACACGTGGCAACAGCAGCAGCACAGACCGCAGCTCACGTCAACGTCAAACTGTGAACCCGCACAGGACATAGTAGTAGTAATAGGTTTTTACCCTTTCAACTGGTACAAAAACTGACACCTTTATACAAGGCATCATGTTTGCAATAACCACAACACAAGCAGTCAAAATGCAAACAAAAAGAAACAACTCTGATGATGCTGCGTGTGTTGTAGCCGAAACGTCGTGAGAATTATTTTTTTAATTATGTTTATTATGTTTTATTTTTATTATTTTATTACTTCCCTTCTACGTGACTTCACCGAAAGAACCAAGAGTATACATCCCTACGTCCCCCTACCGATCCATCGCTCGATCTCCGCGGGAATGGAACGAGTGCGTGCGTGTGTAAGTCCAAGCGCTCAACGCCGGGCACACGTGACACGCACCTGCCGTGGAAACGAGACACGTGACGCTCACCACCCGGCAGAATGACGCCGAGCTCCACATTCTCCACCGGGAGAGCACCACCACCACCGAGGTCTGGTGGGTCTAAGTTGGGGGGCTCAGTCTCGGACTGCGACATCGGCGGTGCTAGCGGCGCACGGGGCTTCGTCTTCAGGCTGCAAAATAACAAAATAAAAATCTGTGGACATTGTGCTACAATGAGTTAACGATGAGGTCACCCTGCTGCTGCTGCTGCTCTATATAAGAACGGGAGACACAGCAGAGCCCCTCAAGATTCTGGCGAATTGCTCGATGATGCTGCTGGATGTAATTACCAGCGAAACGTCACAGCGCTACTCAAATTGTAAATGTTGTGGTTTCACGCTTCAACACACACCGGTGTGGGGGCTAAAGCAGCAAACAATTTTGTCTTTTGTCAACGTGACACTGTTTTACTGATTGGCCGTGTCGGGTGGTGGAGGGTTACGACACATTTATAAATAACGCGATCTAAACCCAAAAACGTTGATTGTGAATCAACAAGGGAGTTTGGTGTCCGGTCAGGGTTATAGCAGGCGCATTCGTTAGGTCAAGGCGAAGCCACTCATTCGCCAAAGTCAGTGGACTGGTGTTTTGGTAGAACAACGAATTATCTGCCACTTAGAGATCACAAGCAAATCGGGATTAATGCATCTACATTTCGACTTAAAGCTTTCGTGACTGCAGGGATTCATCTTCTTGGTTCTTTCGGTAAAGTCACGTAGAATGGAAGTAATAAAATAATAAAATTAAAACATTTTTATGTTTCGATTTAAAGCTTTCGTGACTGCAGGGATTCATCTTCTTGGTTCTTTCGGTAAACTCACGTAGAGTCACGTAGAAGGGAAGCAATACGTGACTTTACCGAAAGAACCAAGAAGATAATGCATCTACATTTAACCCTAACGTAAAACTGCAATCAATCAAGTGATAGGCATGTGACTGCCGTTACACACGTCACTTTCAGATCTTGCATGGCCATGTCAGAATCAGAAAGGGTTTTATTCGCCATGAAAGTTCGCACAGACAAGGAATTTACTTTGGCAGGTAGGTGCGTACATTCAACATATAGGAATCTTACATCTTAAATAAGTGGTGTACAAGTCTAACTATACTAAAGGTACAAAGTCTAACTAATACTAAGGAGCTAAAGTATGTATTAATTGCATTTTTTTAAATTATCCACAAATTTAAAGGAAATTAATGTATTTATTTAGGCATTGTAGCAGTAATGCATGATCATGATGCTTTAAATAAAAAAAAACATTTCCTATATATGAAGCAGATGGAACCAATATATTACAAATATAGGAGCTGGATGTGATGCTTATGTGAAACGCAATTTCTACGTAAATGCAATTGCCAGTTCAACGTAACACGTTTGCCCCTTTGTTGAATGCAATTTCGCGTTCCTTAAATTGGGCAATGCTCTTTTTTAAATCCTTTATATTAAGTTCGCTTGCTTGCTTGCTTAGGACCGTGCAAATCTTTCGGTCGTTTTTTAACCCACTTCCCGTGATCCAATCGAGCTGACATTTTGCACACAGACTCGTTGTGCGTGACAATTAATGTTCGTGGAAAAAAAATTCCAAAATTTTACACTTTTTAGGGAAAACAAATTAAATATTTCATTACCAATTGCTTAATGGTGGCAGACAATCATCTGACCCATAATGCCGTGCAAAGACTGCACGTGACTTGGGAGATGAATTGATAATTCACGAGGAACGGTGCAATGTCTCGAGCTGGAGCTGTATCACAAAGCCTCGCGTGGCACGTGTTGAGTACACTGCACAGCGTGTCGGTATATGCAGTAGATCTTTTACAACCATATTTAATTTAACTCTAGACTTGAAGCTTTCGTGACTGCAAGGAATCATATTCTTAGGTGTTTTCGGTAAAGTCACCGTGTAGGTAAAACATCAAAAAAAAAAAAAAAATTATTTTATTATTTTATTAATTTTGATGTTTTACCTACGTAAAGTCACCGTGTAGGTAAAACATCAAAATGAATAAAAAAAATTTTATTTTATTATTTTATTAATTTTGATGTTTTACCTACGTAAAGTCACGTAGGTAAAACATCAAAATTAATAAAAAAAAATTTATTTTATTATTTTATTAATTTTGATGTTTTACCTACGTAAAGTCACCGTGTAGGTAAAACATCAAAATTAATAAAAAAAAAATTATTTTATTATTTTATTAATTTTGATGTTTTACCTACGTAAAGTCACGTAGGTAAAACATCAAAATTAATAAAAAAAAATTATTTTATTATTTTATTAATTTTGATGTTTTACCTACGTAAAGTCACGTAGGTAAAACATCAAAATTAATAAAATAAAATTATTTTATTAATTTTATTAATTTTGATGTTTTACCTACGTAAAGTCACCGTGTAGGTAAAACATCTAAATTAATAAAATAAATTTATTTTATTATTTTATTAATTTTGATGTTTTACCTACGTGAAGTCACCGTGTAGGTAAAACATCAAAATTAATAAAATTAATAAAATAATAAAATAAAAATCACGACGTTTCGGAGGCAACGGAGACTTGTGCTGGAGACTTGTGTTGCCTCCGAAACGTCGTGATCTTTATTTTTATTTTATTATTTTATTAATTTTGATGTTTTACCTACACGGTGACTTTACCGAAAACACCGAAGAATACATATTTAATGTGTGTTCACGTGCCATTAGATGATCTCTTCCACGTAGAACAATCCTCACACACAACATTCCATCAACATCAGGGTGTAGCAGCGCCACATTAAATATTATTGTGTAAATTTTTTATTATTTAAGTGCGTTTATTTATTATGTTTTTATTATTATTTGATTGTTTTATTTTTATTAATTTGTTTTATTTTTATTACTTCAATGTTTTATTTGTATTATTTTATATTTTATTTTTATTATTTTATTGTTTTATTTTTATTATTTTAAAATTGTATTCCATCACGTTTTATTGTTTTATTTTTATTATTTTATTATGTTTTATTTTTAAAATTGTATATCACGTTTTATTTTTATTATTTTATTATGTTTTATTTTTAAAATTGTATTATATCACGTTTTATTTTTATTATTTTATTATGTTTTATTTTTAAAATTGTATTATATCACGTTTTATTTTTATTATTTTATTATGTTTTATTTTTAAAATTGTATTATATCACGTTTTATATTTATTATTTTATTACTTCCCTTCTACGCGCTGACTTTACCGAAAGAACCAAGAAGAAGATGAATCCCTGCTGCAGTCACGAAAGAAGCTTTAAATCGAACAAAGACACCAAACATTTACAAAACAAACGAGATTCCTCTCGCGTGCGCTTCTCAGACAAGGCCGCAGCCCCAGCCCCGCACCCCCCCGCCTTGCCTGGAAGCCCCTGCCGAGGGAGACGCACTCAAGGCGGCCGAGCTCCGCCTGCTCACCGGGGTGGGGGGGGGGGAAAGGCCGTTCTTCTCGAGTAGTCTTGACACTGTTGTTGTTGTTATTATTGTTGTTTGTTGTTGTTTGTGCGTTGTTTGCTGCTCGTCTAAACAACTCTGGGCACGGTGGAGGCGAGTTTCGCCTGAGGCTTCACGAACCGCGAAATGCGTGCGGCCATCGGTGAACGCGTTGGAAAAGGAGCTCGCCGATTGGCCCAATTTGGCAGCCAATGGGCGCGCAGGAATCGTGAGCACGTAAATGACGTCACGCACCCGGGAGGGGGAGGGTTTGAGAAATGTGACGTCACGCACCCGGGGGGAGGGGCGGGGTTTGAGAAATGTGACGTCACGCACCCGGGGGGAGGGGCGGGGTTTGAGAAATGTGACGTCACGCACCCGGGGGGAGGGGCGGGGTTTGAGAAATGTGACGTCACGCACCCGGGGGGAGGGGCGGGGTTTGAGAAATGTGACGTCACGCACCCGGGGGGAGGGGCGGGGTTTGAGAAATGTGACGTCACGCACCCGGGGGGGGGAGGGGCTTGAGAAATGTGACGTCACGCACCCGGGGGGGAGGGGCGGGGTTTGAGAAATGTGACGTCACGCACCCGGGGGGGTGGGGCTTGAGAAATGTGACGTCACGCACCCGGGGGGGGAGGGGTTTGAGAAATGTGACGTCACGCACCCGGGGGGAGGGGCGGGGTTTGAGAAATGTGACGTCACGCACCCGGGGGGGGGAGGGGCGGGGTTTGAGAAATGTGACGTCACGCACCTGGGGGGGGAGGGGCTTGAGAAATGTGACGTCACGCACCCGGGGGGGAGGGGCGGGGTTTGAGAAATGTGACGTCACGCACCCGGGGGGGTGGGGCTTGAGAAATGTGACGTCACGCACCCGGGGGGGGAGGGGTTTGAGAAATGTGACGTCACGCACCCGGGGGGAGGGGCGGGGTTTGAGAAATGTGACGTCACGCACCCGGGGGGGAGGGGCGGGGTTTGAGAAATGTGACGTCACGCACCCGGGGGGGGGAGGGGCTTGAGAAATGTGACGTCACGCACCCGGGGGGGAGGGGCGGGGTTTGAGAAATGTGACGTCACGCACCCGGGGGGGTGGGGCTTGAGAAATGTGACGTCACGCACCCGGGGGGGGAGGGGTTTGAGAAATGTGACGTCACGCACCGGGGGGGGGAGGGGCGGGGTTTTGAGAAATGTGACGTCACGCACCTGGGGGGGGAGGGGCGGGGTTTGAGAAATGTGACGTCACGCACCTGGGGGGGGAGGGGCGGGGTTTGAGAAATGTGACGTCAGGCACCCGGGGGGGAGGGGCGGGGGTTGAGAAATGTGACGTCACGCACCCGGGGGGGGAGGGGTTTGAGAAATGTGACGTCACGCACCCGGGGGGGAGGGGCGGGGTTTGAGAAATGTGACGTCACGCACCCGGGGGGGGGAGGGGCTTGAGAAATGTGACGTCACGCACCCTGGGGGAGGGGCGGGGTTTGAGAAATGTGACGTCACGCACCCGGGGGGGTGGGGCTTGAGAAATGTGACGTCACGCACCCGGGGGGGGAGGGGTTTGAGAAATGTGACGTCACGCACCTGGGGGGGAGGGGCGGGGTTTGAGAAATGTGACGTCACGCACCCGGGGGGGGGAGGGGCGGGGTTTGAGAAATGTGACGTCACGCACCTGGGGGGGAGGGGCGGGGTTTGAGAAATGTGACGTCACGCACCTGGGGGGGAGGGGCGGGGTTTGAGAAATGTGACGTCACGCACCTGGGGGGGAGGGGCGGGGTTTGAGAAATGTGACGTCACGCACCTGGGGGGGGAGGGGCGGGGTTTGAGAAATGTGACGTCACGCACCTGGGGGGGAGGGGCGGGGTTTGAGAAATGTGACGTCACGCACCCGGGGGGGAGGGGCGGGGTTGAGAAATGTGACGTCAGGCACCCGGGGGGGAGGGGCGGGGTTTGAGAAATGTGACGTCACGCACCCGGGGGGGGAGGGGTTTGAGAAATGTGACGTCACGCACCCGGGGGGGAGGGGCGGGGTTTGAGAAATGTGACGTCACGCACCCGGGGGGGGGAGGGGCTTGAGAAATGTGACGTCACGCACCCTGGGGGGAGGGGCGGGGTTTGAGAAATGTGACGTCACGCACCCGGGGGGGTGGGGCTTGAGAAATGTGACGTCACGCACCCGGGGGGGAGGGGTTTGAGAAATGTGACGTCACGCACCTGGGGGGGAGGGGCGGGGTTTGAGAAATGTGACGTCACGCACCCGGGGGGGGGAGGGGCGGGGTTTGAGAAATGTGACGTCACGCACCCGGGGGGGTGGGGCTTGAGAAATGTGACGTCACGCACCCGGGGGGGGAGGGGTTTGAGAAATGTGACGTCACGCACCTGGGGGGGAGGGGCGGGGTTTGAGAAATGTAACGTCACGCACCCGGGGGGGAGGGGCGGGGTTTGAGAAATGTGACGTCACACACATCAAAATTCGCGACTTTAAATAAATGTGAATTAAATAGAAGCGTTATAACACAAATTTTTTTTTTACTTAATTTTCATGATTAACTATTTTATTATTTTAATTTGCTAAGGTCACCTTTTATTTATTCCACGAAGGAACATTTTTCTTCTCCATGGGAGAATTGAGAAGCATACTTTTAGTAATTTTTTGAATGATTGTTACTAAACATTTTGATTCTAATGATTCTATCAAGGCCTTTCATTCTGTGAAATGAATATACGATTCTTATAGTTGTACTCTCCGTTTAGCTTCGTTCTACTACAAAGTTTCAAGTATTTTTAATAGTTAAAAGAGCTTTAAATATTTTATTATTATAAGAGCATTTCAATATATCAGTCTGAACATCTGCAGTTTTAGTTAGAAGTTGAATCTTTTCAAGCGAATTTTATGCTAAATTTCAGCTTTCCAACGCCTCCTTTTAATGCATGTTTTCTCCTACAACATCAGAGTGCATCGCCACATTTAATACGCAACTACAACGACAACAGTTTAAAGCGATTTGAAGCATGTTTCATTTTCAAAATGGAAATATGGTTTTGGGGGGGGGGGGGGGGGCAGAGCTTTGTGACGTCATATTTGAGGGGGGGTCCAAAATTGCGTGACGTCATTTATGGACGGTCCCAAAGTGCTCGTTCTTGTCAAGACAGGCACAGTGGGTCCACCAGGGGGCGCTGGGCGCCACCCCAGCAAGCTGCTGGAAATGAAAAATTATTTTTCGAATAAAAAAAACTTTTCTCTTCTTGGTTCTTTCGGTAAAGTCATCACGTAGAAGGGAAATAATAAAATAATAAAAATTAAACATAATAAAATAATCTTCTTGGTTCTTTCGGTAAAGTCACCGTGTAGGTAAAACATCAAAATTAATAAAAAATAAATAAAATAAAACAAAAATCACGGTCCCACCTGATGACGGACACTTGTGTTGCCTCCGAAACGTCGTGATTTTTGTTTTATTTTATTTATTTTTATTAATTTAGATGTTTTACCTACACAGTGACTTTACCGAAAAAACCTAAGAATACCATTTACCGATTCGCGCCAATAACATTTATTGCACTAGGGGGTGAGGAGGGGGTGAGGGGGGCGGGAGCGCTACATTCTCTACGATGAAAAGCATCGTAAAAAAAAAAGTGTATA